ATCACACTTGCTTTGTCTTCTTTAAAACCCCGGCCAATCTGCCTTGTGTTCTTTTACCACCCGTCCCATGTCATATTCTTTAGGATAGCTTGGTCATGTCCGTGTTTCAGCCAGGTCTTTCCCCCAGAAATCCTGGTTCATGAAAGTTTTTGTATTTGATTGTATTGCCCTTTACACTGCTAAGTGGAGTCCCCTTCACTCTGGAGCGGCATGGCATCGTTTTATGAGCCACAGCAGTGGTGCCTTGAAGAGGTGACTTTGCTCCTTGCAGTTTTGACCACAATTTTCCCGTGATGCTGTTGTTGTTGTAGTAATGTTTCCTGTAGGTTTTTGATGACTGTTGCCCTGTAGAAGTAGAAAATACCTAAAAGATAATAGGGAATTGCTCTTTTTCTAGTTTGGGGACAGTTCTAGTTTTGTTTTGTTGACAGATGTTTTAGTTTTCTGCAGAGATGAGGGGAAAAAAAGCTTTAATTTTTTTTTAAAAATTATTTTATATTTTCCCAAATTCATTGAAGTATAATTGACAAATAAAATTATATATATTTAAGGTGTACAGCATGATGATTTGATATATGTATACCTTGTGAAATGGTGATCACAACCAAGTTAGTTAACATGTTCATCACCTCAGTTGCCGTTTTTTGTTTTTGTTTTTTTTTTTTTTAATGGTAAGAACACTTGAGATCTACCCTCTAAGCAGATTCTAAGCACACAGTTTGGTATTGTTCACTACGGTCACCGTATTGTACGTTAGATTTCCAGACTTGTGCATTTTATAATTGAAAGTTTATACCCTTTGACCAAAACTTCCCACCCACGCCCCCACCTCTAGCAACCACCGTCCTACTCTCTGAGAAAACAGAGCTTTAGAATAACTTTTTGCAGGTAGGTTGCACAGGAATCAGAATTTTTCTGTGTGTTAGTATTGCTCTCCACATCATGGGTTTCTCTGGGTTGTAGACTGCCTTAGTCTGTTTTGAGCTGCTATAACAAAATACATGAACTGGGTGGCTTGGAAACAGCAAACACTTACTTTTCACGGTTTGGGAGGCTGAGTTGTCCAAGATCAAGGTAGAGGAGCCCTCATTATCTGATCACCTCCCAAAGGCCCTCCCTGGGGGGGTTAGAATGCCAGACATGAATGGGAGTAGGGACGAACACTCACATAGCACAGATTGATAGCTTTAACTAATCAATCCACAAAAAATCAACTCGTCAGACACCTAAAGCAAGTTTGATGCAGCTTGATATCTACATATGCCTTAGTGGGCTTCTGGACTTAAATGTGTGATAAATTCCTTTAACATGTTGTTTCAATGAGAGGCCATGAGCTTTTGAAATTTGGTGGCTTTGGGGAAAGTACTGATTTCTTTTGTCATGAGAAAGATGTTATTTTCATCCCATACCAGGGAACACTGCAGGTGGAGCAGAATAAGCAGTGTGCAGAGTGAGGCAGCGGGAGGCCCAGGTGAAACCCAGACAGGCACCGGGCAGAGAAAGGCACCCAGGGCAGCTGTGTCTGCTCCCTTTCCCCACGCAGTCCTGGTGCCTGGGCTGTTTCCCCAAGGGCCCCTGGGATTGAAATGGGCTTTTGTCCCATTTGGTGAAATGTTCCCTAAGAAGAAAGGTACATGAAAAAGAGGGCACCCTCCAGCTGTGCCTGAGGATGTCTGGACCATGGCCCCCAGCAGATGCCAGGCACTTTTTTTACTCTGAGAGGAGGGTACTTAGTGCTTAGTACATGGTTTGCTGCCTGTACAGATTCATGGCATAAGAATTTTTGTGTTTTCTTCATTTTGGAACACTGGGATGTTCATTTAATACAAACTTTTCCCAGTGGAACTATGAGGAAAAGGAAAGGCATTTGTTTCTGGTTGGTTTTATTCACAGATTGGCCTTAAGAGAAAGACAGTGCTGCATACTGCTGACGGCCCAGAACAGGCAGAGAGAAGTTGAGAGACCCCAGGGCAGGGAACGATCACAGCAGAAAATCTGGGACCTCCTTTGTGGTTGGGAACCTTTTGTTAGAGATTTACTTCAAAAAGGTTCAGATTCTTGAAAAAAAATCGGGCTTAAGGAGGAAGCTCCGATCAGTGTGAGGTCTCCCGGTGAGCCATGCCCGGCCTCCTTTCTGTAGCGAGAGCCTTACTCCACACTCTTAGAGCAGCTAATTTCCCCACAAATACTGCTTTGGCTACAACCCATTGATCTTGATATGTAGTATTTTATTTTTGCACTGAAAACACTGTTTTTTGTTTTGTTTTGTTTTTGTGTTTTTTTTTTTTTTTTTTGAGACGGAGTTTCGCTCTTGTTACCCAGGCTGGAGTGCAATGGCGTGATCCCGGCTTACCGCACCCTCCACCTCCTGGGTTCAGGCAATTCTCCTGCCTCAGCCTCCTGAGTAGCTGGGATTACAGGCACGCGCCACCATGCCCAGCTAATTTTTTGTATTTTTAGTTGAGAGGGGGTTTCACCATGTTGACCAGGATGGTCTCGATCTCTTGACCTTGTGATCCACCCGCCTCGGCCTCCCAAAGTGCTGGGATTACAGGCTTGAGCCACCGTGCCCAAAAACACTGTTTTAACAGCCTAGCTATATGCCTATCTGTTATTAGAAGAGTAAGCTTAATATTCCAAGCGTCTAGGTTTCTTTATTTGTAGCTTATTTCCACTTTTACTATAGTTTGCTTGAGAGGTCCTGGTATATACAGGTAATTGTTTTTGCATTTACTTTCCCCATGGCCTTGTGTTTGATTAGTTATGACAAAAGTCACACACATTTCATGAGTTATTTCCAGAAATCACAATTTACGATGGTCTAACATAGAATCTTGGTTTTATTGAAATGGAGTCTGTTGCCTACCCTGGAGTGCAGTGGTGTGATCTTGGCTCACTGTAACCTCCGCCTCTGGGTTCAATTCTCCTGCCTCAGCCACCCAAGCTGGGCATTCACCACCACACTTGGCTAATTTTTGTTATTTTTAGTAGAGATGTGGTGTCACCGTGTTGGTCAGGCTGGTCTTGAACTCCTGACCTCAAGTGATCTGCCTGCCTTGGCCTCTCAAAGTGCTAGGATTACAGGCGTGAGCCACCGCGCCTGGCAGGAAAACATTTTTTAAACTTAATGCCACATCAGTCTAATTTGGTAACTTAATATGGTAGCAGAATCAACTTAATATGGTACCAATATGGAACTTTGTTGTTTGAGAGATTGTTTCCTCATCGTAGGGCATTTATCAGTCCTACTGCGGATCCATTTCTTCCGTTTCCAGTCATATTTCTTTTGTATGTTTTGTCGATTTGTAATTTAGACTACACATTTATATATATTTATGCAGCCGTTTTAAAATTATTTTGTATGCCTTTTTTTGACAATCTGGTGCCATTCTTGCTCGTTTCCATCTCAGTGGTGAATCTGTTTTCTTCTGCTCGGTTCCTTTTTACTCTGCAAAACTTGGTTGAGCTCAGATTACACTGCAGTGGAGTAGGAGGGAAGTCACCCGTTCTTTCTTAAACATATGCTGATTTTTGCCTCTATTGTTGAGTCTTTTTTTAGTTTCTAGACTTTTTTTTTTTCTATTTTAAAGGGGGCCACCCCCAGAAGTTTCTTTTTCTTTCGGCTTAAAATCAATGTTCTTTTTAGAATATAAGCTGTGTCCTTGGGTTTGTGTATATCTGAGTTCCCTGTAGTATAAGTTTAGTCTATTGCAGTCTTTCTGATACTTTGTCCTTCGTGGGACGCACAGTTGGTTTAGCTTGAGATGAAGTCCACTCACTCAATCCATGGCCAGGGTCCACCGTGCCTGGCCTTCGTCTACCTCTTCAGGGTTATCTGATTGCAGGCACACATCTACCAGATCATGTGGCATTTTAAATTGTTTTATTACATGTCTGTGTCTTCACCTAGGGACAGTCATTTAGTTCATCTGGGAATCCTTTGAATTGCAGTGCATAGAACATAGTAGATGCTTCATATATGCTTGCTATGTGGACACCCAAAAGGGTTGTATTAGGCTTTTCTTTACTCAAATGTAAGGGGCCAGGCAACATAATTGTTACAAATTAAGTTAGAAGTTGGAGGAGTGCTCACTCTATTGTCATTTGAGAAGCCATTTTTTCCAAGTTTGGAGGGTACCTCTTTAAAAAAAAATTCAAATTGATGTGAAGGTTTTTGAAAGCTCAGTTTTGTCTCCAGTGGATTGCAAGCTTTCGAGGCCGAGACCATGTCTTAGTACCACTGTGTTTCATCTGCTTTGGCCCTACACAGGTAGTAAGTCCTCTGTGTATGAATAAAACAAAGAAATAAATGCACCTCTCCTGTGTGAATTAGAAGGTTCGTGTCTGTTGCTGTTAGACTAGGAGCATGTTTCAGGTACACAGCATATTGTGTTTATCTCTGTAGCCACAACATGTAGTGTAGTACCTGAATTTTGGTGGGAATTTGGTAACTTCTGGTAGTTATGTTGATTAGTCTCCTTGGAAGAAAATAACTTTATAAGCTACAGATGTTAAATGATTAGATCATAAATTGACTGGTTCACCGGGCGCGGTGGCTCACGTCTGTAATCCCAGCACTTTGGGAGGCTGAGGTGGGTGGACCCCCTAAGGTCAGGAGTTCAAGACCAGGCTGGCCAACATGGTGAAACCCTCTCTCTACTAAAAATAAAAAAATTAGCCTGGTGTGGTGGTGGGCACCTGTAGTCCCAGCTACTTGGGAGGCTGAGGCAGGAGAATTGCTTGAACCCAGGAGGCAGAGGTTGCAGTGAGCCAATATTGTGCCACTGAACTCCAATCTAGGCAACAGAAAGAGATTCTGTTTAAAAAAAAAAAGTAAATAAATAGACTGAATCCATGGGTCACATGCATTTGAAAAGTTGTTATTATTTGAAGGCACAGTTGGTAAGATCTGATGCCCTCAGCTGGATGTCTTCACTCCAACTGTGTATGTTCCTTTAATTTGTTAACCAAAAAACACTCTCTCTTTCCCCTCCCTGCAGGTTGCCATGGCTGCTGTTGACAGCTTCTACCTCTTGTACAGGGAAATCGCCAGGTCTTGCAATTGCTATATAGAAGCTCTAGCTTTGGTTGGAGCCTGGTATACGGCCAGAAAAAGCATCACTGTCATCTGTGACTTCTATAGCCTGATCAGGCTGCATTTTATCCCCCGCCTGGGGAGCAGAGCGGACCTGATCAAGCAGTATGGAAGATGGGCCGTCGTCAGCGGTAACCTGCTTTACAATCCAAATAATCTTTTCTGTGAAGTCAGACGCATTATTCACGGAGCTGTTGAATGTGATGTTTTCATGGGAGCACACTGATACAGAAATCAAGTTACGGCTCCTGTCGTGATTATGTTCCCATTTTCTTACTGCTCTCAGCTTAGAAAGACCTTGCCTCATCATCCTTCCTGGTCTGCCCTCTCCTGTTCCCAGGCCTCCTCCAGACCCACTTTCCTACCACTCGCTTTTCCTTTTTGTTCTCCCTCGTAAAATTGTCTTTACAAACTGTCACCACTTTCAGAAATGCTTCACTTATTTTGAATTTCATTTTATTTGTGAGTATTTTCCAGAAAAGCACCTCCTGCCACTCATCCAAGCCAGAGAGGAGTTTGAAAACGAATTCCTACTGTGTCTCCTAATCACTGTGGTGAATGTAAAGTGACTCCCTGTCCCTGTGTCAGGATGTCTAGGAGAGTGTTTAGCACGCGTCCTTCACATTCTTGATTCAGCAGTCGTGTCCTTGACTCACAGATACTAGAACTCACTTGATTTCTAGTGTGAATCTTTCTCCGACTACACCTGGCAGGGGGTACTTGAGGTCCATGTTAAAGGGTTACACCGTGAAATGCACATGCTGACTTTTCCTGACTTGCATCCTAGGTGCAACAGATGGGATTGGAAAGGCCTACGCTGAAGAGTTAGCAAGCCGAGGTCTCAGTATCATCCTGATGAGTCGGAATGAGGAGAAGTTGCGGGTTGTTGCTAAAGACATAGCCGACACGTACAAAGTGGAAACTGATATTATCGTTGCGGACTTCAGCCGTGGCCGTGAGATCTACCTTCCCATTCAAGAAGCCCTGAAAGACAAAGACATTGGCATCTTGGTAAATAACGTGGGTGTGTTTTATCCCTACCCGCAGTATTTCACGCAGCTCTCCGAGGACAAACTCTGGGACATCATAAATGTGAACATTGCCGCTGCTAGTTTGATGGTCCATGTAGTGTTACCAGGAATGGTGGAGAGAAAGAAAGGTGCCATTGTCACGATCTCTTCTGGCTCCTGCTGCAAACCCACTCCTCAGCTGGCTGCATTTTCTGCTTCTAAGGTCAGATAATACTTACTAGAAAATGAAATCCTAATGCAACAGAGCATTTATTAACAGTTGTTTGGTCTGATTTGTTGAACTTGTCAGCAATTCATGTTTGCTTATCCTGTATTTTTTCCTGAATTGTTAAGAAGCAAGTCTTTTTTTTTTTTTCTCTTGAATTTTCAGGTTCACCCAGAATTAAGTCTTTTCCTCCCCTCTGTCTTAACAGGCTTACTTAGATCACTTCAGCAGAGCCTTGCAGTATGAATATGCCTCTAAGGGAATCTTTGTACAGAGTCTAATCCCTTTCTGTGTAGCCACCAACACGACAGTGCCCAGCAGCTTTTTGCACAGGTGCTCGTGGTTGGTGCCTTCGCCAAAAGTCTATGCACATCATGCCGTTTCTACCCTTGGGATTTCCAAAAGGACCACAGGATACTGGTCCCATTCTATTCAGGTAGGTGTGTGCCTTCAGGTCTCATAAGGAGGAATCTGATTAAAGCCTAAGATGAGAATTGTAAATTCAGATTCTTAAACCTGACACTTAATGATTTTGGTTAAGATACTAAATTCTCTTTTGTAAGATTATTATATTAAGAATTTTCAAAAGTTCAATCTATGTGGCACCTAAAAGGTGAAATATGCTGCGTTGGCTGAGCCGTGGTGGCTCACATCTGTAATCCCAGCACTTTGGGAAGCTGAGGTGAGCGAATCACTTGAGGTCAGAAATTTGAGACCAGCCTGGCTAATACAGTGAAACCCCGTCTCTACTAAAAATACAAAAACTAGCTGGGCATGGTGGCGTGCACCTGTAGTCCCAACTACTTGGGAGGCTGAGGCATGAGAATTGCTTGAACCCGGGAGACAGAGGTTGCAGTGAGCCAAGAGCACACCACTGCACTCCAGCCTGGGCAACAGAGCAAGACTCTGTCTCCAGAAAGAAAAAAAAAAAAAACTTAAGCTGCTGTCAGTGGATGGTAGGACTATAAAAATACTATAAAGTATTTATATGGGAATTTCAAAGTAAAAGATTCTAGTACAGCTTGAGGGCTGCCTCCAAGTGACAAATACAATACCAAAAACCGCAAAACCACAAGATAGGGTTCTATTTCCTGCAACCATTTTATCAAGTCATATCTCTGTATATTTTTAGACTCATTTTTTCAAGAAGCGTAGAATTTGTATTTTAAGCTTATTGTTCAGGCATGACAAAGGATTGGGATATTTTAGTATTTCAGAAAGTAATTTGTTAGAGATTTGAAATTGTGATCCCAAGTATTAATATGAGAATACATAATTATTATATTTGTGTTCTTTATCTGGCGTAATAAAGAGATGTGCCCTAGTTTAGAATTTTTTTTTTCTTGAGATGGAGTTTCGCCCTTGTCCAGGCTGGAGTGCAATGGCGCTATCTTGGCTCACTGCAACTTCTGCTTCCCGAGTTCAAGTGATTCTCCTGCCTCAGCTTCTCGAGGAGTTGGGATTACAAGCACCTTGCCACCACACCTGGCTAATTTTTGTGTTTTTAGTAGAGACGGGGTTTCACTATGTTGGTCATGCTGGTCTTAAACTCCTGACCTCAGGTGATCTACCAGCCTCAGCCTCCCAAAGTGCTGGGATTACAAGTGTAAGCCACCACACCTGGCCAATTTTTTTTTTTTTTTTTTAATATTCGGAGTTTTCTCAATTACCAAACATATTTTTGGCACTGTTTGCATAAAGAGTATTAGATTTACCAGTACCAAATAAACATACAAGTAAATCAACAGTTATTGTTACTTTTATGAATAGGTTTGGTGATAGATTTCTTTAATAAGAAGCAGTTTTGGCTGGGCATGGTGGTGGCCCGCGTACGTCTCTAATCCCAGCACTTTGGGAGGCTGAGGCAGGTGGGTCACTTGAGGTCAGGAGTTTGAGACCAGTCTGGCCAACATGACAAAACCCCATTTCTACTAAAGATAAAAAAAATTAACCAGGCATAGTGGTGCATGCCTATAGTCCCAGCTATCTGGGAGGCTGAGGAAGGAGAATCGCTTGAATCTGCGAGATGGAAGTTGCAGTGAGCTGAGATTGCATCACTGTACTCCAACCTGGGCAACACAGCAAGACTCCGTCTCAAAAAAAATAAAAAATAAAAAAAAGAAGCAGTTTTATTTAAGTAGTTATGTCCAGGTCCTTTAATAACTTGAGAAAAGCACAGAAACCTAAAAAGTAGTCTTAGAAGTTGCTGAGCATAACATTTTTTTTAGAAATAAAGACATGATGGCGTTTAGATGCAGTAGATATTTTTTTGACTGTGTGTATAAAACACCAACATTTTACTCACAGTTAAATTTTGTTCACGTTGATAAACTTTGAAAATTTATTTTTCTGCCAAGAAATTATGTTAAACTGGTTTAATTCCTGGAGTAGTTTTCTGTATAAAGTTGTTAAAACTTTCTATTTTCATTTTATGTTACTCAGATTACTTTTAACACTGTTCTATCTCCAGTTTTACAACAAAGATTTGATTCATCCTTTGCTGTTTTGTCTATGGCATATTTCTCTCATAGCTTTTGCTACTTTGCTTTCTTTTGTTCACAGTGTGCATGTGTGTGTGTGTGTCTGTGTCTGTGTCTGTGTCTCCTCCCTGGAGAGTAACCTGTGTCCATTTATTGACAAGAGGATTGGATGACCTGTTATCATGCATCAGTTCAGTTCAAGGCTAGATGTCAGTACTTGCTAAGGGCCTGTCTGTCTCTCGTCTTTAATATATACAGTATTAGAACTTTCATTCAGTTCTGGACAAATCTGTTAGAGGAGAGTGGGCTTTCTCCACCTCAGTGCTGGTGGCATTGAGAGCAGATAATTCCTTGTCATGGGGACCGTCCTGGGCATTGCAGGATGTTGAGCAGCATTCCAGGCCTCCAATCACTAGAAACCAGTAGCATCCACTCCCAGCATCACAACCAAAAAACATTTTCTGCTGCTGGCACAGAGGCCTGAGTGAGAGGGCAGAACAGCATCAGCAGACTCCCTCCCCTGGTCCCTGAGCCCCCCTTGTCATAGGTCAGGATACCATCCCAAGGTCCTGGTGTTTCTGATCTGTTTTCTTGTTGAACTTTGTTTTATCCTGCCCCTCAAGCCCCATTTTTCTCATACAGTACTAACCATGTATGTGCCTGTCTATTCCGACTGACTTATTCCTATAATGGTTTTATAGCTTTTTTGTTGTTGGTGGTGAGACAGTCTCACTTTGTCACTCAGGCTGGAGTGCTGTGGCACGATCTCTGCTCGCTGTAACCTCTGCCTCCCGGGTTCAAGTGATTCTCCTGCCTCAGCCTCCTGAGTAGCTGAGACTACAGGTGTGCGCCACCATGCCTGGCTAATGTTTGTATTTTTAGTAGAGGTGAGGTTTCACCATGTTGGCCAAGCTGGTCTCGAACTCCTGACCTCAGGTGATCTGCCCACCTAGGCCTCCCAAAGTGCTGGAATTATAGGCATGAGCCACAGCATCTGGCCAGTGATTTAGTAGTTCTTAACCAGTGAACATACTGTTCATATCATATTAAGTAAAGATAGAATTGTATTTATATGCAGGACAGTCCAGCCTCATTACAGAGAGTAGGGTAGGTGGGTGCTGGTCATGTTTCTATTCCCTGTAGAATCCAGGGCAGGATCTTAGGCAAAAATAGATATTCAATACAGTAGTGCCTGGGGGCTTTTTCCTTTGTTGTATTTTATGTGATTGGTGGGTACTTGTTGTGATTGGTGGGTATTTGTGATTGGTGGGCAATTGTGGTGATTAGTGGGTGTTTGTTGTGTTTGGTGGGTAGTTGTTGTGATTGATTGGTGGGTAGTTGTTGTGATTCGTGGGTAATTGTGATTGGTGGGTAGTTGTGTTTGGCGGGTGGTTGTTGTGATTGGTGGGTAGTTGTGATTGATTGGTGGGTAATTGTTGTGGTTGGTGGATAATTGTTGTGATTAGTGGGTAATTGTGATTGGTGGGTATTTGTGATTGATTAGTGAGTATTGTGATTGGTGGATAATTGTTGTGATTGGTTTTTATTTGTTGTGTTTGGTGGGCATTTGTTGTGTTTGGTGCGTATTTGCTGTGACTGGTGGGTAATCGTGATTGGTAGGTATTTGTGATTGATGGGTGGGTAGTTGTGATTGGTGGGTACTTGTGATTGGTGGGTAATTGTTGTGATTGGTGGATATTTGTTGTGATTGATTGGTGGGTGTTTGTTGTGATTGGTGGGTGTTTGTTGTGATTGGTGGGTGTTTGTTGTGATTGGTGGGTATTTGTTGTGATTGGTGGGTAATTGTGATCGGTGGGTATTTGTGATTGATTGGTGGGTAATTGTTGTAATTGGTGGTATTTGTTGTGTTTGGTGGGTAGTTGTGATTGGTGGGTAGTTGTGATTGGTGGGTAGTTGTGTTTGGTGGGTAGTTGTGATTGATTGGTGGATATCTGTTGTGATTGGTGGGTAATTGTAATTGGTGGGAATTTGTTGTGATTGGTGGGTATTTGTTGTGATTGATTGGTGGGTAATTGTTGTGGTTGTTTGGTGGGTATTTGTTGTGACTGTTGAGTATTTGTTGTAGTTGATTAGTAGATATTTGTTGTGATTGGTGGGTATCATGTGCTGGTCTTATTCCTTCAGTGTTGATGTTTTAGGATTCTAATCTTACAACCTTTCTCTCTTTCATTTTTAGTTTCTTTTTGCACAGTACATGCCTGAATGGCTCTGGGTGTGGGGAGCAAATATTCTCAACCGTTCACTACGTAAAGAGGCCTTATCCTGCACGGCCTGAGTCTGGATGGCCACTTGAGAGAAGTTTTGCCAACTCCTGGGAACCTTGGTACTCCAACATTTGGAAAAACACATTTAATTTATCTTATGTGTTTTATTGCTGATTTTTAGCATACTGTTGATTTGTCATTTGCAAAGCAGATGTAATACTGTCAGAGAGTGCTGTGAAGAAACCTCAAGGGTGTGTGAATGGCACAGAGTCAGTAATGACTGACGCTGATTGAGGATATATAAATTTCAGTGCTTTTCCCCTAAGCTGTTCAAAAGTGACGCTTTTCTATTGGTCTAGGAGCCACAGCAGTCTAGTATTGAAATATAATGTGATTTGTCAGCTCTTATAATTTCGGATGTTGCTTTTTAAGGGAAATTGACTATTTCACTATAGGAGTTGTACTGGAATGTGCATCAGGAAAGACTACTGGAAAGTATTAATTTATAACTAAGGTTGCTGGTACTATTAGCAGGAAAAATCTGTGTGTATTGTGTAGCTCTAGCTGTTTGACTATCTGTTAAGAAAATGCTGCACTTCAACTGGTATTTCATTAGAGAATTGTGTGTGTGTGTGTGTGTGTGTGTGTCTGTGTGTGTGTGTGTGTCTGTGTCTGTGTGGTGTCTTTGAGCAACTTTATGGTTACCATATTTTTAAAGAGATTTTTTCTCAGAATGACTTAACATGGACTCTTACAGCATATTAAAAAGTCTAGATTATTCCTTTTCATACTAAATAAGCCTACCAAATTTCATTCTGTTGGTTTGCTGTGAATAATATTAACTTCCTACATTATATTTTTGTTGGTTTGTCTCAAATCTGCTATGGAATGAATTGATTCCTAGATTTGGATATGTGAGAGACACTTGCAGTCATCTTTTGATTTATAAAGCAATTCTTGTGGCTAAGTAGTGATTTCTCAGCCTCTGACCCATTTTATAACTGAAATTTTGCCCTTTAGAGCTTATTATATCTGGTTTTCATACATTTTTCTATGTAATATTCCATTCCAGTAGCATTATTGATATAAATATTAAGTATTTATGGAATAGTAAAATACGGACAAATTATGTGTGTGACATGATATATCTGTCAAAATAATAAGTTAGAAAGCAGCTTATTCTTGGTTTGTGTAATGAATTTTTGTATTTTAGTGAATACCTTTATTGGTGTGAAGATAATTATGCACAAACCCTCACAATATGCGTTAACATTGAAACCTACTATGAAATGTCTTCAGTTTGGGTCTTACAAAGCCAACCATTTTTGAGGACCACATACCTAGTGCGTTGAAGACTATGTCACTATATGAATATGACAGTACGTGCACATTTAAAATTCAGAGGTCAGCATTGTGACGCTGACGCATAAGCTAGTAGATTGGTTAAAAGTCTGCATTCTGTAGGATTGTTTTTTCATGATGGGATAATCTATCATAAGCAGACCTGAGCACACTTTTTATGGACACAATTTTGCCCATGACATTGCCTACAAGATTTCCAGATGTGACTTGCACTCAGAAGGTCCATGGTCAACATCAGAAGCTCTTCCACTCCTAGATCATGTTTTCAGAACTTAAATGTGAAAATCTACACACTGGTTGATGCTGTGTGACCCCCACAAGGTTTTGATGGACTTAGCTTGGAATCCTCTCGACTTCATGCCACATTGATGTGAACTTTGATGTGTAATAAGCAGCAACTTAATGTGAAAATATTGTCAGGTAGTTATATGTAAGGTTACGTGATCCAGTAATGTCTTAGATTGATAAATTAGGTATGAATCGGAGTCAGTGTTATGTGATGAGCATAGGGGAACACACCTTGTCAGTGAATCTGTAAAATTCTCTCCTGGGCAGGACATGGCAGGCATGCTGATTGGTGCAAATGTGCTGCAGAGCTGTCTGTAGCCATAGTGAAAGATTAACGAGATCTTCTCTAGGTTTTCTAGCTTTCATTAAACATATTTTTTCCACAGAGCTAATTCGAAAGTTGATTGGACCACTGTGGATAGGGTGTCTTAATAAGAATGTGGAAAATAGCCGGGCCGGGCATGGTGGCTCACGCCTATAATCCCAGCAGTTTGGAAGGCCGACCGAGAACAGCCTAGGCAACGTGTCCTGTCTCTACAAAAAATACAAAAATTAGCCAGGCATGGTGGTGCATGCCTGTAGTCGCAGCTACTTGGGAGGCTGAGGCAGGAGAACTGTTTGAGTCCAGGATGTGGAGGCTGAAGTAAGTCAAGATCATGCCACTGTATTCCAGCCTTAAGACAGAGTGAGACCCTGTCTCAAAAAAAAAAAAAAAAAAAAAAAAAAAAAAAAGAACATGGAAAATAACCTTTGAAACTTAATCTGTGAATTGAAAGTTTAACAATAAAAGTAGTTGTTTCTGCTTCCTTTCAAAGAGTTGTGTTGTAGATGTTTGTAATTGGGTTGTTTGGAATAATTTTTTTTTTTTCTTAGAAGTGATTGCAAAAAATTAACTTACGAAATTAGTGGTCATAACTGATTAAAAGCTGACACTCTAACAAATTGTGTATAACAATGTGCCTAGTCTTTGGAAGCTACTGAGTTGAATTCTGGATCTCCTACTCCTGGTAGGTTGGGTAAGGTGAAGATTAATTTGATGATGGAATTTGGCAGTGTGGATGGAGATCATTGGTGATTTTTTTTCCGTGAGCCATTTCAATCATTAAGCTAGATTGTAATGGATTCGAGAAAGAGGGGGAAGTAAAAAAGGGAAGAGAGCAGGTAGAGACAGCTTCTAGGAGACTTTTCTGTGTTTTTGTAATCTCAAGTACTTGAAATCTAATCACACTTGGAAACCAGAGAGTTAGGTGGTTCTGTCCACAAAACCTGTTCCAGTCTTACCTGTTTAATGAGTATAAAGGCAAGCACAGGACAGTCCTGAATTCAGCAGAAATATTCTATGGAATGCCTGTCTGGGTGCGGTGGTCACGCCTGTTATCCCAGCACTTTGGGAGGCTGAGGCAGGCGGATCATGAGGTCAGGAGATCGAGACTATCCTGGCCAACATGGTGAAACCCCGTCTCTACTAAAAATACAAAAACTAGTGGGGTGTGGTGGCGGGTGCCTGTAATCTCTGCTACTCAGGAGGCTGAAGCAGGAAAATCGCTTGAACCTGGGAGGCGGAGGGTGCAATGAGCCGAGATCACGCCAGTGCACTCCAGCCTGGGTGACAGAGCGAGACTTCGTCTCAAAAAAAGACGTACATATATATTCTGTGTAATTCCTATGGTGAGACTGAAGGGAAGGGGAGGAGGCTCTGGAATCGACCCTGGAACATGCACAAACAGAACTATAGCAAGCCCCCTGCGAGGATGATGTGATTGGACAGCCTTGCACAGCCCCACATGGTGCCACTGCTGAGGGCGGGATGGTGGTGCTGCAGATCCCCCCGTTTTCACTTCCAGGTCTTGGTTCAGGAGGAAGGGATGCAGCTTGAGGTCCTCGTGTATAATCCAGTTTCGGGCAGGTGCTGGCAGCCACAGATGATGTACTGGGGCAGTAGTGCCCTCGGGCTGGTCAGTGCTCTCCTTGCATGTGGCTCCACGAGAGGCCTGTGGTGGCAGAGCTCCAGCACCAGGAGCATGAAGCTGTCCTTGAAAAAGCCACAGACACCTAAGATGCGCTGGTGGGCGAGGCTGCCGGGAGTGGATGTCTCCAGGGGTGCCTCCTTCGGGTGCAGATTGAGCAGCAGTGACTTAGGTGCCATTTGCTCAAGAACACCTAGGTGTTGCCTCCAAAATTTTGACGCTCTCAGCAAAGCTACCCTTGCCAAAAAACCGGCCTGCACATAGTGCCGCTGGCAGATTTACTAGGACCTCCAAGATCTCTGCAGAGTGGCGGCTGGGACCCCCAAGAACCACAGCTCCAGGGAGGCTTTCCCAGGGTTGGTTGGTGCCTGTGCCATCGGCTTTTCCTTAAAATAACATTTCATTGGAATAAAGATTTACCTTCCCATGGAATTGCAGAGGCTTTATTCTGTATGTGAAGCCGAAGTTTAGGAAGTTATTTTAGAACCTGAGTGGTGGGAAACCACCAGTGGTAGGCCAGGATCCTGTAGCTCAGGCTTTCTTGGTAGCTCTGCAAGTCACTTTTCTTTCCCATACCCCAGCCTCCTCAGTGTATAGGCATTCTCTGGAACTGGTGGTGTTACTTCCTCCCCTGCTGTGGGGCCTCACTGTCACATGATGGATGTTTGCAATCATTATTCTACCCCAGTTTCCAATAAGAGGGCCATGTATTTGATGGCTTGGTGACTAAAGGGCTGTTCAGAGAACCCCGACCAAGATTAATTTACCCAAAGTTGGAACAGAAGGACATAGTCAAGTTTAAGATGAAATGCTTTATGTGGTGGCAGAAGGAGTGCCTCACTTTGAAGGTTTGCATATCCAAAGAGAGGTAAGGGTTTTCCAAAAGTTCAGAAAATCCTACGAGATCCGAGTTGGGTAAGGATTCAAGAATCCACTACCGTGTATTGAATCATACAGGAGCCAAGCACTTTGTGTGTTTGCTTTTTGTTTGTTTTTGAGACAAGGTCTTGCTTTGTTGCCCAGGCTGGAGTGTAGTGGCACAATCATGGCTCACTGCAGCCTCGATCTACTGGGCTCAGGAATCCCACTTCAGCCTCCCTAGTAGCTGGGACTACAGGTGCACACCAACACACCTGGCAAAAACAAAACAAAACACAACACAACTGTAGAGACATGCCTCTTGCCCAGGCTGGTCTCAAACTCCTGGGATCAAGTGATCCTCCCGCCACAGCCTCCCAAAGTGCTTAGATAGGCGTAAACCACTGTGCCAGGCCCTATGTGTGTCCTTCATTTAACCTTCATCCTTTAAGGTACATGTTAGTACTCCTATTATTTATTTATGAGACACAGTCTTGCTCTGTCGCCCAGGCTGGAGTGCAGTGGCATGATCTCGGCTCACTGCAACCTCCACCTCCCAGGTTAAAGCAATTCTACCTCAGCCTCCCAAGTAGCTAGGATTTCAGGTGTCCGCCACCAAGCCTGGCTAACTCTTTTTGTATTTTTAGTAGAGTCGGGGTTTCACCATGTTGACCAGGCTGGTCTTGAACTTCTGACCTCAAGTGATCCGCCCACCTCGGATCCAAATCCACCCAAAGTGTTGGGATTACAGGCGTTAGCTACCACACCAGGCTAGTACCCCTATTTTTGGGATGAAGCAGCTGAGGTATAAAGAGGTTAAACAACTTGATCAAAATTACCAACTAGAAGCTGGAGGTGGGATACGGTAATTTGTGATTCTACATTTATCCACTATATTAACTGTGTTAAATCACGCGGAAGGATGACGCGCTGTGATCTGTAAAACGTGCAGTTCAGCATTACTGTGGTGCATTGTTAAGTTTAAAAAGACACAAAACCGTCTGATCTGCCTATAGCGCTTTAGTACCTGAAGACGCTTTCATTCCTTTGCTTGTGGCCTTAGGAGTCCGGGCCGGGCCATTTACATTGAAAACAACCTGGGATCCTAGCATCTACGTCATCCGGACATCTTTTGGGCGGCAAGCTTTTCGGAGTTTCACACATTTACTCTTGTTTCTTCAAAACGGGCAAACACGTGGCGTTACAAAGGTCCTCGGGTTCCCACGCACCGGTACCCGGGCAGCGGCCGTGCGCTACGCGTCGCGAGGCCAGGTCCGTTGTCCAGCGAGGCCAGGGGTCAGGTCGGGCAGGCGAGATGGGGGATTTCGCCTGTTACTGACTGGACCCTTCGCCAGCCCGGGTTAAGGGGCCCAGGTTAAGGGGCACCCAGGGCAGGTGCCCGGGCGGGGGTGCGGAGTCCGAGCCGCCGGTGCCAGGACGCGGATCCCTGCACAGAGGGTCTGCGCGGGGAAACGAGCTATCCACGGATCCAAGACAGTAGGCCCGCGGGCGCGGGGAGTCGGCGTCAGGTAGTCTTCCTAGATTCTGGCCCAGCTCGGCTGCCTTCGCGCCGGGGTTCATTTTCCGACTTTAGCCGGCGGGCGGGGGTGGTCCTAGCGTCATGCGCAACACAGGCCAGAGGCTCGAGCCGCGCGTTCTCAGTCGGGCCGCACGCTGGCCACGCCTCTCTGCTTCGGTCTCCGGCCCCGGGCCGCAAATGTCGCGAGACCTTCGTCTGTCCTCCCTGCGTAGTCCCGCGGCCCACGGCGTCCAGAGCGCGCACGCAGGCCCCGGGAGCGCGGGGCACGCAGGGCACGCCGGGTCGGCGGGGCCGACGCTCCCAGCTGTGGGCCTTCCTTGCCCGGTCGCCCAATCTCGCGAGAGTTGGGGGTAAACAGCCCCGAATGGAGAACCCAGGCGTGTTCGCCGCAGAGGCGCCGTTATCCCAGGCCCGCCGGCCCTGAGCTGCAGGCGGCG